TGATTTAGCAAATGGCTGCAATATAACAAAGAGTGAAAAATTTAAGGGGGTCTGAATACTTTCCGTACCCACTGTATATATATATATATATATAAGAATTTTCAGAAGACATTTATACAGCAAAGCAAGTCACAAATACTGAGTAAGAGCAGAGTTTCTGCAGTGTGTGGGTCGTGCATTGGATGATTGTAAACTGCAGATGCTTCAATAGTAATTATGGGCTGTTTACTTGTTTTTCTCAAGAGAACCAAAGATCTACAGAAGACCAGCAGAGCGTGACTTCATAGCACTGAAGATAAATGTGATCAAACCTGCTCAAAGACACTAGTTATTCATAAACAGTATTGTGTAGGGCTTGCAGTCGCTCTGCGGACATTAATCATTCAGTGTGTGTGTGTATGAAGTGGAGGAAGCTCTTGCTCTGAATATCATGTGAGGATTGTGAAAGTGATGAGCGAGAGCCAGTTTCCATAGCAACAGCGACCTGATGATACCATTAGACAGAAAATAGAGACGTATAACCCCCATCTGCGTTTATAACTCGACATTTATTAATCCAGTCATATACAGGCAATTTACAGTAAAATGCTGAATGTCACAGAATTAGGCAATTTTTGTATGAATAAATCAAAAGTAGGGCTGTACACTTAATCAAATGATAAAATGGACTTGAGTTTGTGATATTTTAAACACAAAAAGACTGCTATGAAATATGGATATGAATGAGCACAAAGTTGTATTAAATCATAAATCCAAAATAAATGAGTAAATAAACAGATTTCTGGAAAAAATATATATATTTCATAGTACCCTACTACTGTAAAAAAAAGAAAAAGTAAAACAATATTATATTTTAATTGATATACATGCCTTTTGATTTAACGATAAAATGTAATCTTTTTTTGTGAATCCAAAATAAAATAAAAAAACTAATTTTATAGGGACCTAAAAATATTTTTGTTAAACTTTAAATGAACGGTTGTTAAACTGTATAAGTTTTTTTAAATTACTACAATTTTATTTAACCATATAAAACAAATTCCAGAAAAAAAAAAATAAAACCTTAAAATCCAAATCCATAAAATTAAAACAAAAAATGCAATGGAATTTGGGGGAAAAAAATCAAACAGATTTCATAAGGCCCTATAATATTTTACTAGTGTACAGTAGAATGTACTTCTCAAAGTATCATAAATTCAGACAAAAAAATTGTTTACATTGAAATGTCAAAAAATTAATATTTCACACATTCCTATTATTGTTAAAAAAGTAATAATTATTTTTAATACATTGTTTCATGATTTCAATTGATTAGACATACTTTTTGATTACTAAAACTTAATTTACCATTAAAACAGAATCCAGAAAAAAATAAAACAATTAATTTTTGGGGAAAAATCAAACGTGAGATTGGAGTTGTGAGGAACACGAGGAGAAAGGTTTTCTCTGACTGTGAGCTTGAGTTCAGTTCTGAAGAAAACACACAGAAACGGCCCGTTGAGTGACGTTTACACGTTTACACAGACTAACCTCGTCAGTCAATTAATTAACTCAGCAGTAAGCCAACACTGTTAGGAATTCTGAGGTTGTGTGGCTAAAGGTAAAGAGAGAAAAATCAAAAAGTGAAAAAACTGAAGTCTAAATGAATTAAGTTGTAGTGACAGGTTATTAACATTTTTTATTTTAAATAAACATAACTGCTTCAAAAATAATGTTTTCAGTAAATGTGTGTGTGTTTTACGTTGTTGGACATCATTCAAAACATCTTCTTTTATGTTCCACAGAACAAAGTCAAACAGGTTTGAATGACATCAGGAGTGAATGATGATTTTTGGGTGAAATTTCTTGATAGTCTTTCGTGTTTCTGCAGGAGTCTAATGTACACATGACTACACCCCTCTCTCTCTCTCTCACTCTCTCTCTCTCTCTCT